AAAAAAAAAAAAAAAAGAAAAAAAGAAACACTTTCTATTTTGAAAATATGTTCTGAATGTTTCTGCACACTTTCTAATACGCGAGCCGGTTATGATATGTTTTCTGTTGTGATTAATATATGTAAGCATTTTTCATTTTTCTTTGATCAAATTGGCACATCCAAGCTAGGTTAGCTCCGTGAGATAGAGTGGCTCTCTTCTTTTATGTTTCTCCAAATTGGATTTGATTATTTCATATTTCAAAACGAAGTCGTCCTCAACTATCTTCGTTGTATATTGGACACGGCAATCACCTTATTCGGACATATGCTTAATGTGTTGATAACATTGCCAGGACTCGTTATGCGAAAATAATTAAATCAAGATTCGAGAGGAGATTATGAAGAAACTTAATTTTCATAACTGTAGTAGTTATACTTTATATCAACACTTCCGAATGACTACCTAATTTGAACAATATCTAGTGTATGTAGTGTAATTAGTGGTGGACTTAGTCTCCATCTGGAAAACGTGTGGACAGCTACGTCTCTTCAAGTTAAACAAGATTATATGCTATCTTCCCAATGACATTCATCTATAGTCATTGCTTATTAAAAGCACGACCCACTTTAGTGTCCTCTTTAAAGATTAACAAAACTATGTAGTATCAGTGGCTGATAGATTTTCCCTAATACTCCTATTTGTTTAGGAATTCTTTTTCTAGACAACGGGGCAATGTAGGATAGTGAGTTGCCGCCGGAGATGCTATTTAGATGCTATAAAAAAAAGAACATAATGCGGTCGGTTGGAAAATAGTACATTTTATCTGAAATCGAGTGTTGTCTATATGCTTACATCCTTTCTATATTTTCGTTTTCTACTTTTTCTTTTACGTTTTCTTTGACTTAGGGTACTTTTTGGCTACTAAAACAAGTTCTGGTTTTTTGTTCACCATTGGGTGGCTCTTCATGGCATGATACAGTATAAATACGAGTTTTATGTGTAATAACAATAATGTGTCATGTGATTTAATTTAGCAGATATGTCCACTTTGATAGTTTTTGCAGATTTGGATGGCGTAGAACGTTCTGTATTGGTTTTTTCTCTTTTTCTTTTGCGGAGATGGAAATATCAAATATCTCTAGCAGCTGGGAAAGTCGTTTAAAAGCTGGTGTTAATATGTGTGCAGATAATATTTCATCAAATTTATTGTATTGAGAGTGTGCAGATTCAAGACTTAGATGATAGAGAACTTCCTATGACCTGTAAAACTTATTCCTTTCCTTGAGAAATACATACTCAAGGAAATATAATTTACGTAACTCTTTAGAGCAAAAGAAGAAGCTTACTACTGAAGATCCTTCAACAAACTGTCATTATTTAAACGAAGCTACGGTCGAAATTAAAAAAAAAAAA